GGACGATGCCGTCTTGCCCCATGGCCCACATAAGCGGTGTCCGACCATTGCCATCACCGACATTGACTTTGGCGCCCTTATCGAGTAGAAGCCTAACAACGGCTTCGTTTCCTTCCCCACAGGCCCACAAGAGCGGTGTCCGACCACGGCCATCAGGGACATTGACTTTGGCGCCCTTATCGAGTAGAAGCCTAACAACGGCTTCGTTTCCTTGCACACATGCCCACAAAAGCGGTGTCCGACCATTGCCATCAGGGACATCGACTACAGAGTCATTCTTGACTAGCAGGTGCATAGCGCACTTGGCCAGCCTGACCGCGCTGGCTGTGCTGCGTCTCTGTAGAGACGTCCGGCTTATCCGATCTTTTACTTGAATGCTACCTCTAGTCCGACTCCTGTCGAATATAGCTTGTAGGGGACCCATTAGCCCATAGCCCGACAGGATGTGAACCAACCTTGTCCCGTGTGCCGAAAAAGGGACGAATGATAATGTGCGGTAGACACGCACCCATAGATGCACAAGCGATTCAGAGGGCCAACGAAAATAATCCAACAGATCATTTTGGGAGATTCCCATCTCTTCGCTTCGTTTTGCGTGGGGGCCCCACCACCTCGTGGCATAATATAGCAGAGGAAAAGCAGTTTCCAAGCCAACTTTATCCGGGATGGTGCACCGAGTAACCTCATCCATTGCCAGGTAACTTAAGCAGGCCCTAGAGAGCCGGTAATGTGCGAGCCCTTCCAAATTGTCATTGGAGGTCTTGGCACCCACCAGATTTAGGCTGCCCGTAAGAGCAAAGAGGCCCTTTGAGACGAAAAACTCTTTGACGGAGTGATGTATGAACTGAATGACGCTGTCATTCGACGTGACCTCGGCAAGCCCACAAGTAAGTGTCAACACTCTTCGTCTCATCCACTCATCGTCAGATGGGTAGTCTCCGGCGTTCTCGCATTCGTATAGTGATCGATGTGTGCATTCGGCATCAACAAGCATAGCCCAACGCAATTCGCTTAACGACAACGGCCACATAGAAAAGCAGATCCACTGGATGAGCTTCAGAGAGTCCAAGCCCATACTTTGGATGAGACTGAAATATAACGCATCGAGTTCTTGCGGAGTCGAAAAAACATATGCCTCCATTTGCTGCAACCCGGCGCCGTTCAGTTCAAGGTCGAGGACTTTCTGTACAACGTGCTGTGCCCACAAGAAGACACCATCGGCACGTTCAGCGATCAGGTCCGGTATGTTAGAGGATGTCCGTTCACGGAAGGAAGAGAGCCTGTCTTGCACAAACGTCGATATATCTGAGCAGTTCTCCCTCTCAACCCGTATCTCGAACACAGTATCGAGGACCAAGATCGGGTAGTGACGGCCAGAGAGGCATATGCGAAACATTTTAAACCCCATGGACGTGTGTCTCTCCCAGAGTGTCAGGAGCTCTTCGGCTAAACTCCTTGCGTTCCTCTGTCCACATTCGTCTAATGCGTCGATGAATAGCCAGACGGGTCGTGTCCTTGATACTTTCAGAATTGAAGACTCGAAAAAGTCGCGCAACTCCCGGGGATGCCAGTGCCACTTTTCGCCTTCTTTGCCGGTAGATTCACACCGTTGTTTGTAGACATCCATCATGTCTGACAGCGCGTCAGGCACATGTCTAAGCTGATAGAGGATTGAGCGGAAGAAGCCGAACGGTGTCTTCTGAAGTTCGGTTCCGCGACCGTGGAAGAAGAACGAGAGGATCGAAGCTTCTTCTCCGGTCATAGACGTATCAACGACATGATTTAGGAAGTATCGCAGCAGCGTTGACTTTCCCGAACCGGGTTTCCCTTTGATCCATAGCAGGCCGCCACTCCGGGCCCAGTTTATGTATGTGTCGTGTTTAAGAAACCACCCGCACGTCCCCTTTGCGGCGTCATCTATATCTCTTAGCCGACTATCCATTTCTGGAAATGCCAGCGAACGCCAGAAATCCTGTGGCAGCTTCAAGCACTCATTAGTACCTGCGTGCATGGTAAGCCCGAGACTTCAATTCGGCGGAACTTTTCGTCTCACCGAAATACACGGACCCCGAGAACGTTGCTCCAGGAAAGTGGTGGCCGTCACCCGTACTCTTGTTCAGAGTACTTAGCACACCATTGAGCTGGTCCCCAGTGCCATAGGTAGTAAAGGATTGGCTCCGGGAAGAATGGCCGGCGTGTACTGTCTGTGCCTCTAAACCACCTGTTGGAGGCCGCCCTCGTGTCCAAGATACCTTCTCTGTAGCGTCCATTGCGTATGGCAGGCAGGTTCCCGAGGTTTAACTGCCCACGAGTGCGGTTGTGAGTGGCTTTGAGGACTGGGCCCGTTACAACGCGAATCCGCCTGTTATTCGCTGGAGCAATGGCGCGCAGGGTTCGTTCCGTGAAGGGTTATTTGCTTCGTAGGGAGGCGAACGGGAAAGCTGGCGCGGCGTCATTCGCATGCGGCGATGAATGCCCAGCCGCTACCGCTTCCAGATCTAACTGCGAGACGCGACTGTGGTACGCCAATGCACAAGCGTACTCAGAGTATCGACAAAAGTACGTCAGAAAAGCGCGCGGGAATGTTCGTTCGCAGGAGGCTGGAGTAAGCACGTGATCGGATATGTTGGCGAGCGGGGTCGGAGTTTTGGCAAACGATCGGTCAATCTGGAGTGCAAATTGTGTTTAAGATTATGTGCAAGACGCTGGACCGGTGGCAAAAGCAAGATTGAAGCGAGAAGACACCACTCAAGCGGCCAATAGGCAGGGAAGTGCAGCCGCATAGCAGCGGCAACTAACGCCACGCGTGAAAAGGACGGCAAAGCTCCCACGGCCATCCTCCCACGGCGTTCTACAATCACGTTTTACACGACGACGTTCCCCACCGGTACCCAGTGCCCGCTCTATATGAGTTGCCCCGGTAGGGTGTTTGCAGCAGCGTCAGCACTCCCCTAGCGAAAATAATTGTGCCTTGGAGAGGGGGCTCAAGCTAAGGTAGGTAGCAGTGTCTCGTCAGACTTTGCATCTAAACGGGACTGCTTGGGAACGAGGAATGCCACTCAAGGCCGAAGTGAACGTATTTAGAGATGTGACCGTTAATACCGAGGAAAAAATGGCGTATTAGGAAGGGGCCGCAAGTCAACCTCGGGGGCAAATTTTCTGAGGCGCCGGCCACCTCTTTCTGACTCCCGACCAAGCACCAAATGCCAATCAATTCGGTTCATCTACAGTTGCACCATTGCGGGGCGTCAAATCGTTCACTGTCGCCTAGTATCCGCTCCACTGTTAATATCGACCTGCGACTGTATTTCGTGCCCCACGTTCAACGTAAGGTCGGAAAAAGTCGCCAGACCTGTGGCTGGGCCCTTATTTTCAACGCGTTCGCAACCGAAGCCCAGTTGCACCTTGGACGCTGCATAGTGACAGGCCAGCGGTAACATCTAATGGCTGACGGGCTGACGACAACCGATCATCTCAGGCCCCCACCACCATTCATACCCTCAGGTGTTTGCCAGTGTTCGCTGTCCAATTGTGTCTGGCCTGTCACACCAACCGCTCCAGGGTGCGCCTTTGCACGATTTGTTGGTCCACAAGTTCTGGACGTGCCTTCAATCACCAACAGGTCCTGGCTCACAATCCGTCAGCCTTGCCATTCAATTGGCCGTCGTTGGCTTGGAGTGATGACACAACGTAGCAAGCGCCTGCTGCACCAATCGGACTCACCGTGGCTTCAGCCGCCTAGGTCTGACCTGTCACCGTATGGTACAGGAATCAGGATCCAAGAGGAACAACATCCGCCCACAAATGAAATGTTGGCACAATGCATTTCCAAACTTCTGCAGCATCTGCTATGACGGTGGCCGAAAGATTGCTATTTGGAACTGGCTGATTGTGTTGATTTGGATCACTCCCACCGCGTGCGGCTGTATACGACTACTGTATACATGCATCCTATGTCTCCACGGAACATGCAGCATAGACCTGTCATCCTTCTGGCAACTGCGGAGACTGGCTTGGAAGGTCGCAAGCCCCCTGCATCTTGATGCTCTATTTGTCGCCGATCCGGACCAATTGAGCATGGCTGCAGACACTGGAATGGGACTTCGTGAACTGGCACCCCCCAGGACCTATCTTCGTCTGCTCGGTCGAAATTCAAGAACAGTATCTTTTACCACAGTGCTTTGCCCCTGACCTGCGTTTCGAGTATCTCAATCCCGTCCCGGAAATCCCGATAAGCTCTTTGGAGTTCAGCAATGCTCTGGTCAGGGACGTTCCTTTCTGGCTCCC